TTCTATTATTATTTTATTTTTTGCGTTTCATAAAAATTACTTTGAATTAAATTTTCAGGCTAGCGGCATGGAGGGGGCTTATAACGTGCTATCCAATGTTGAGCATCTATATCATACAGCCCATCCGGAGATGCAGGCGGCAATCCAATATGCCAAGAGCCTTCTCTACACATCTCTGACTGTCGGAGGCGGAGAGATCGGTCAAGGGACGTCGTCAAGCCAAGTTTTATCACAAGAGAGCTACGTCCAACCCCAGAGGACGCAGTCACACCGAGCGAGGCATCAACCTCCTCCCCATATTCGTGGAGGTAGAAGACGACGTCACCGCGAACCAGTTGCCGACGACGGGCCTGAGGATCAACAAGAACAAGGTAAACATCTTTTAGTTAATAAAAATATAATTTTATTTTTGTTTTGTGATTTTTTGTTAAGTCAAATTTCTGATTTCTTAAAAAACTGAATTACTCAGCTGTAGAAGAAGAACAAGAACCTACCACGCCCACAGCATCGACTTCTGCACAACCACCACAGCGTCGGATTAGCAACCGACCGCGCAACCCTACGAATCGATACACTCCTAGTTAGTTGTGTTGTATTCGGAGACATTTTGTAGACATATATATTTATTTTTTTCTTTCGTGGATTTATGTGTAATGATATTTGAACTTGTTTGGATTTTTATATTTGGAAAGTGAATTACTGTGCTTTATTATTGTTTCTTTGACATGGTTGATATGGGATTTCTGAATTTATATTTCGTTGTGGAATCGATCTCGATTAACAGGTGTGTGTTTGTAATTTTGTCCTTGTGAATTGCTGTATTTGCACAGTAAAACGTATTTTCAAAATACGTTTTTGTACTGTGCAAAATTAGGTCAAAATCGTTTTGGGGATAAAATTAGGGCGAAATCAATTTGGGGCAAATTTGGTTAAAAAACGTATTTTGAGAATACGTTTTTGTACTGTGCAAAATTAGGTCAAAATCGATTTGGGGATAAAATTAGGGCGAAATCAATTTGGGGCAAATTTGGTCAAAAACGTATTTTGAGAATACGTTTTATTTTTCCAAATATTATTTTCCAAAAAAATTAGTTTTTTAAAATTAAAAATATTAATTTTAAATATTTTTTCAGAAAAACGTATTTCGGTAATACGTTTTTAACCTATTTTAATTAGTTTAATTACGATAATCACCTTAATTACTTTTTTTAAGAAACACGTATTCTCAGAATACGTTTTTATTGGAAAACGTATTTTGATAATACGTTCTTCTTTAGAAAACGTATTCCGAGAATACGTGCTTTTGATTTTTTTCCACTTCTTTTATTTTTTTTTTATTTATGTCCACTTAATTTTTTTTATTTTTATATAAATAAATAAATCGTTATTTGTGGGCTACTTTCAAATTCATGGGAATCCATATGAAACAGACAAAGCTGCAGAAAAATTTCACACTAATCTCCAGATATGTTCAACTCCTGATCCTTAATATTGTTTCATGTTACAAACACCATTGAGCACAGGCAAAATTAGAAGGTATAGATTGTAACACGTTGTATATCAAGATAGGCATTTANNNACTCATCAACTAAGATAATGCAATATATAACACATAACACGAGTGGAACAAACGTTATAACTAGAACAGAAAATTACCAGGGCTAACGATGGTGATACATTTAGTAACCGACCTCATGGCAGTAATAGAATCTGAACCTGCTCACGTACAAGTAGAAACAACTTAAAAGTGTTAAAACACTAGATAACATCAGACCAAAACAAACACGAATAACTTCAAAATTCTTACCCATGCAAATCATATCTGGTGTGACTTGTCTAGAACCCATTTCAGCTTTGCCTGCTTTAGAAGGCGACCTGCAGTTGCCATTACTAGAAAAGTTAAATCGAAAAATTTCATTTGATAATTAAGAGTTGTTCAATTAGTATTACCATGAGTGACAATCTGGAGATGAATCCAGTCCTTGATTTGATGGCAAACCCAATCCTTCACTTGACATATCTAAATCAATCAGAAATTCCGAAAGATTGAAGTCCAAGCCTAAAGCATCCAAATCCAAGTCAAGAATATCCCCTCCCTCAGATTCAGACGTTAAAGTCGCGTTCGGGCTTAAGTTCTCTGTAATCATCGGCATTTCAGAAGTTCCGAAATCGAGTCTCCCCCTGACATGATGATCTTTTTTTGTGCTAGAACCACCCTTTGTGTTTGCCTTTAGCGGGGAACAAGTTATTTGGTTTTTCTCTATCGAGTAATAAGATATTTGCTTGTTGGGACTGACCCTGATTGTTTCTGAAGATATTATCGTTGTGCAATTAGAAGACATGACCTGAGGAGAGGTATTATTATTATTATTGCCTTTAATGGAAGTAGCGGTCGAACAAGCTTCGAAAGGTGAACCGGATTTCTCGGTCTGGGATGAAGAAGCTCGTGGGGGCGTTTTAGGAACAGATGCATTTGGTGGAGTAGAAAGAGGTTCGTGATTGAAAAGACATTTTACGACATTTGACCCATTAGGAGCATTATCACAAGCACATGACTGAGCTGCAGAATTAAGTAGAGGTTTCTCTTGGTTGATTTTTGCACCACTCGATTTTGTAGCTAAACTATTATCTACAAAAACACATGAGAAAAATATGAGCACTCAGGAGAAATAATGAAACATTAAATTACTCTTTTCAATCGAAGGATTTACCTCTGTTTTGTGGGCACTTGCGAGATTTCTTCAAAATCACGGGGCCATGGGGCATATCTATGGACTCTTTCCTTTTTGCGGTTGCATGGTCTTTCTGAATGTTTGAGGGCTTTGTTGTGGACATCAAAGCTGGACTGTTGTACATAGGGTATTGGCCTGAAGAGCACGGCAAATTACAATAACATGTTAATGTGACTACATGAAGCATTTCTCAAGCCAGCATCAAATCAGCTTATTAAGCATTGCAGACTGCAAACAGGCATTTCCATCTACAAGACTTTTTTTTTTTTTTTTTTAATATGGTTAAGCATAAACCAAGTTCCATGTCATTAAATCGACTAAATCGAAAAACTTGGTGGACTTACACCATGGCTTTATGGTTAAATTAATAACCCAAACCTTGTTTAGAGCATTGAGTAGTCCAAAATGGAGTAATAGGACACAGTTTATGGAGTCATTATATGAATGTATATTTTGTATCTGAAATTCTATAATTACAACAGATAGAAAAACTCATCTTACAGCTAACAGCAATGTTTATGCCGAGCTACACTAATCAAAAAAAATGATGACATGTATTCCCAATTAACAGTTAGGCACATTATGTGGAATTTCGATCTGACAAGAAATTATAGACCCCAGTTGCCAGTGCAGATCACAAACATATTAACTTTAGAGGCTATCAAACAAACTCAAAGCTGCCGAGCTAGAACATACAAGACAACACGTGTACAAACAATATGATGGCAGCAAAATTAATTAGTGGGACATGTGTTAATTTACATGTAAACCTTAGCTATACAATAACATGTCTTATATGTTTAGAAAAAAGTGTAAAACTGCTGCAGCTTGAACAGTGCTGAGAGACGGTTTGTAACTATAAGAACGTTATCAAAGTATTTTGCCGACCTACAAACTATCCTTCTACCTATCTAATACTCAGCCCTTTAGCCTAATCACTATAAACTTCTCCTTAGATTCCTAACCATTTCTAAATATGTCATTATAAAACGCATAACAAGAAGCAATCAACAATTCTTTAACATCCACTGATTTATTCATGTGTGGTTTTCCCTACAAATTCCAGAAAACAACAAACACCATGCTAAACTCTCAGATTAGGGCTAAATCCATAGCTCATTTAAGTCAATACAAAATCATACCATAATTGAACAACGGGCAAACAAATTAGTTACCTGTGGGCCTTGCAACGCCAGCCTCAGCATGAGAAGCCATGGCCGCAGATCCACCAGCAGCCAGAGGCAGCGCATGTGGAGGGGTAGCAGCAGCATTTTCGCCGGAGTTGTAAACATTCATCACGCTCTGCATCCCACTCAACAAATTGTGCACCCGCAGCTTTTCCTGCTCCAAACGACGCCGTTCATGGTCCACCCAAACCTTCTGCTCCTTGAGCGTTATGTACTCGTCCAGAATCGAGTCTAAGCTCAACAAGCTCTTTGGAACCTGAAAGAGGAAAAATCGATCCTCAGCTATAGATTAAATACAGAAAAAAAGGGGGAAGAACAGGTTAATTAAAGATAAAATAAAATGAAAAATTTACTTCTTGCACTTGAGATTTGGGGATAAGGCTTGAAGCATCGGACCGGAAAGCAGTGTGCGTATTGGTGTAATTGTTTTCAGAAAGGTAACGATCCACAATGAACGCGATCTGGGCCGGAGTTACTTTTCCTTTGCAGGCGGTCTCTTGTTTTTTCGAGCGGCTTGGCTTTCCCATTTTCGCCATTTTGTGCTCTTTCGCTCTCTGTGCCCTCAATTTGAGAAATTGCAGAAGGTTGAATAGTATTGAATGGCGTTTGAGGGAGAAGAAAATGGAGGAGGAGAGGATGACGCGGGAGAATTTCAAAATTTTTGGAGGTAAAAATGCTTTTTGGCTCTCTGTTAATAGCAGGTTGGGTTTTAGCGGTTAAATTTTGGGGGTTTTATGCTTTTGTTCTTTTGTTTTCCCTCGCTTTTTTTTTTAAAGAAAAAAAAAATGGGTGTGTGTGTGTGTGATTTTCCTTTGCGCGAAATAATCCAATAAATTTAAATTCGTATAAGTGTCCAAATTCACCTTGGGAGCCCAATAATGTTTTAGTGGCTGGGCTGCCCTTAAGCCCATCAACGAAATTTCTGAAAATTGGCCACTAGGGTTTCACCGCGCCCCCTTTTAATATCCACTCGATGCAACCAAAAATAAAACTTCACTGCAGTTCATGAAAACTCATTTGCTTCAAGCTTCAACACAACTTTTCCCTTTTTTATTTATATGATTTTTTTTTTTTTTTTTATCAAGGAAAAAAAAAATTTATATGATTTTTGTCACTCTATCGATTTTCTTGAGTTTTTTAGTGGAATTGGATCGATGATGTGTTGAATTATACTGCGTTATCTATCCGATTATTTCCTGTTTGGAAATGAAGATAGCCTTTTTTAATACTTGCTGAGATCCTATGATTGATTAATATAGTCTTTGTTTTAATTTTTATTTTTTGCTATATTTAAGGAGCATCGGAGATGAGAGCTGATTAAATCGTCATCCTTGCACTTTGATTGTCAGTGAAGATAAAAAATGGGGAATTTACAGTCTGAGATGCTCACTTTATTCATTTATTTATTATTTTGTGGTTTATTTTTAGTTGATTTTTAAGTAATGGGATGGATCGATGATGTGAAAAAAAAATTACGCGCTGTCTGTCTGCAATTTCCTTTTGGGAAAATTGATGACAATGTAATCCTGAGATCATGATTTTTTTTTTTTTTCAGAAAATGAATTAAACATCGTAAGATCTTTTAATGGTAACCGCTTGTTTTGTTGTATTTTTTTTATAATCTTCAGTTCTCTATTTGCACAAGGAAAAAAACTCTATTTCTGAGACAATGAAGCTTTTTTTTTTTGTGCTTAAATTTTGTTCTTTGGTGGATAATATAACTCATTTGTAATTTTGTTTATAGTACTGAGAATGGTTTGGTAAAAACTGAACCGGATTGCAAAAACCGAAAACCAAAATCCTAAATTTGTTAATCGATCTTCTTCACAAGAGAAGAAAAAACCAAATTATATTAGTGGTTTTCTAAAATTCAAACTGCATTGCAAATTGAAAATTTAAAAATAGCACTGTATTGAATGCATCGGTTCGGTTTTTCGGTTCGATTTGGTTTTTCTCACCCCTAGCAATATCAGAAGGTTGAAAGAGTTTATGAAAATTATTGTATTAAAGAAAATATAGAAATATAAACTTGGAAATATTTTGAATTACATTTACTCGTCCAACAATAAAAATATTTATTTTAAATTTTTTGCCTCCTTCATTTTTTGATATATTTTATAATTCAAAACTTTATTATTATTATTACACATTAATTTATAAATTTTATTTTTATATTTTTAATAAAATACTATCAACTATGTTTAATTAGGTAACAATACTTGCTATAATTCATCTATTGTAAGTATGGATCCAAAAATGTGTGATTGGATATGTATCCAACAACAAAAAAATAATTATTTTTAATTCAATTATTTTTTTAACTCAATTTTATTATCTTCAATATTATTAATATAATTAAATAATATCAATTAATTATTTTTACACATTACCACAATTTTAATTCACTATTAATCTAGTCACATAATTTTAATTAACTATCACTTTATATTATCTTTCATACTTTTACATCAAATTAACTTTAATTATTTTATTTTAAATATTATTTTTAATATAAATTCAAAATCTCATTTACAATTAACCATGCAACATATTTCAAAATTAACTATGGTTAACAAAAAAAAAATCAAAACCAAATCAAATTCATATCTAGTTACACCTTTAGCAACACTTTCATTAAACTCACATATATATTTGTACTAAAAGTGATTCGAAATGCTTTAAAAGATAACAAAGACATTCAGAATTACTTTGTTAATAAAATGAATATAAACATTTAGTAAATACTTGCATTCCGAATTCAAATGAATTACAGTAACAAAATGAACACATGACGTTCGATTAAGTTTTTCAAAATGAATATAGGCATTTACATTTATAACATTAAACACGCATTATTTGATTAAAATAATTTCATACAAATACAATGTTCTCTTATGTTTATTACAACATTAACATCCCAAATTTTATTAGGGTCGATATAACCAACCATTTTTAGGAGCAATTTTAAAAATGGGAAATGCTATATGTACATAATAATATTATAAATAAAGATATACATAACACTCTAAATAATAATTTATAAATAATAAAAAATTAAATAGACCCACATATTCCACGTGTATATATAAATTTATCTAAATGTGGCATTTTCCTTTAAAAATTTGCCTTTTTGACTATTCAATACAAACTATCGTGGCTTAACTAAAGCCACGATCACTCTTGAGCTTCTCCTCCACCACTCCTTCCCCGGCCGGCGAAGAAAACTCCACACTCAGTCAAAATTGGAGTCATCTACTTTTCCAATCAGACGACCTTTAGCAGTGTTCATACTCCAAATCTTTCTCTATATATTCCTAAAATGAATCTCCACTTCTCGGAGTGAATCATCTTAAACACTTATCAGATCAAGAAAATCACCTCTAAAGAATACACACACACACACACACACAATGGGCATGATTTTAGGCAAAATCGGCGTCGAAACCCCGAAACACGAAATCATCGCCGCCGCCGCCGGCTACGAGATCCGGAAATACCCGCCGGCGGTCGTCGCCGAGGTGACGTACAACCCCGCCCAGTTCACCTCCGAGAAGGACGGCGCCTTCAAGATCCTCGCCGACTACATCGGCGCCTTCGGCGAGCCGCAGAACGCTCGGCCGGAGAGGATCGCAATGACGGCACCGGTCCTCACGGCGGCGGCGCCGCCGTCGGAGCGAATTGCGATGACGGCGCCCGTGGTGACAGCCGCGGGCAACGGGGGGATGGTGACGATGGGGTTCATACTGCCGGCGAAGTACGCGCGTGCTGCGGACGCTCCGCGGCCGGTGGACGGGAGGGTGGAGCTGAGGGAAGAAGGGGAGAGGAAGTACGGTGTGGTGAGGTTCAGTGGGGCGGCGCGTGAGGAGGTGGTGGAGGAGAAGGCGAGTGGGCTGAGGGAGTGTTTGGAGAGGGATGGGTATAGGGCGGCCGGCGATTTTGTGCTGGCGAGGTATAATGCGCCGTGGATAACGCTGCCGCCGTTTAGGACCAATGAGGTCATGATTC